GAGAAAGAAAGAAACTAGAAAGAGAGAGTCAGGTTACAGAGAAGAACAAGAGAAAGAAAGAGTAGAGACGAAGCAAAGGAATTACAGAAGGGACAGTCAATAAACTGAAGAAAAGAGTAGACGGAGGAGTCTGACAAAGCATAAGTATGGACAACTAGAAGCGCCAGGACAAGAGACAGAAAGGTAGGCAACAGGAGGAACAAGAGAAGAAAGATCTACAAAGAGAGAAAGCAGAAAGAAGAAAAGGTAAATGTGGAGCTGAGTATGACTGTGAAGCTAGAACTAGGACTACAAAAATAGAAAGGAGCGATTCGACCCTATAATCCACAATACTACCTCCTACTATTATGCTACGTTGTGAAAGAATCTCGGCTCTGCATCGATACAGACAAGGAAGCCAGGCGAAAGACTTCCCTCGCAGAGGCTGATTCTCCCAATAGAAGGAGGAGGAAGGGGAGAGGGGAGAGGAGAGAGGAGAGGGGCGGTAGAGACGGATCGAGAGGTGCAGTATGTCTCATACTGAGCATGCTAAACAACAATTGAAGTGAGTCCCACTAAAGCACCTAAAAAAGAATAGGGACAACTCGGAGAGAGGAGAAGAGGGAGAGAGGGGAGGGGAGAGGAGGGGGAGAGGAGGAGAGGGGAGAGGAGGGGAGAAGGAGAGGAAGGGGTGGTGGGTTATAACTTACAAATTTCTTAAATAAAAGGTCAGTAAATACTGAGATACATTTTATACGAAATAAAAGCTCGTACCTAATTTATGACAACCTTTTTCATTTCATTTTACTTTTTAACTTATTCAAGACTTCTTTTTTTTTGTTTTTTTAGTTTTTTGTAGTGATTTTTCACTAAGAAAGTAACTGCAACAATTCCAGTCTCTTTTTAAAAGTTCTGCTGGGATTGAAATATTTCTATATTTTTTTTAACTCTGTTGTCAAAGTAAAAAAGTATTTGGAAAACATAACATTTTCAAAATACAATTAAAATGGAATGTCTTAGTACTAACATTTCTCTATTATGGAAAACTGTCTTAAATTCTCAATTATTCAAAATTTTTTAATTAAAGAAGAAAGAAATTTATTCTTGAACATATAACAAGAAACCTACATATCCACTGGGGTCTGGAGGTTATGCTTTTGAAGAACTCTTATTGAGAATAATATAGCACATAATACTTTTTTTGCAGAGATTTTTTTTATTTTAGAAATTCTTTAAAAAATCTCAAATATTCATAGGGTTTTTCAATCTCTCTTTGAAATACTGTCCTGGTAAATAGTGCTTTTCCTTTTTAATGTGAAGACACCACAATACAGAACTAAAAAAGTTTAAAACTACTATATTAACTCCAAATTAGATACTTCTTTTTGTAACTGGAAATTAGTTCTTAGCAGCATATGCAATGGGGTAGGAAGAAAAGAAGCAGCCAGTTAAAACTTTGTAACCAGAGGGCTTGGATACAGCTGTATCAATCACAAAGAATACATAATTTTGTACTTTAGAAGTATTTTGGCCTGCAAATGGATTTATTTGATGGGATTTTAAACGTCAATTATATACTATACATAAATTAAATTCAGTCAAATACTTCAACATTATGAATGATCACCTATCTTATTTCCGATAACCTTTGCAGCTCTAACACAACTAATTTCAATAATTAACAAACAATAAACAAAGACATCACAAAAATGCAGTGAATTGCATTTTAGCAAGTTAACTTTTATGGTTATGTTGAAAAAATAAATCTGAATCAGGCAGACACAAAAATGCAAACAACAAAAATTTACCTGCTTACAGTTTTCCAACACTTCAAACATGCATAACTCAAAAATACTTCACAGATCTTTTGGAATTATTATGACATTTTTGGGGGGTTTAACTCGTCTGAGACCTGTTGAATTGCACTACTACAGAAATTTTCTTCATGAGAGAAATGAAGATGACATCCAAAATTTAGAAGACCAGAATACTATTTTTTTTGACATGTTTAAACACAGCTGAGCATCTCCCAAGACCACATTGCTATGAAATACATTGTTTCTCCAGTCACATCAGCTGGATCACCAGTGAAGTATGTAATGTTGGAGGTTATGGATAGTTATAACTTTATATTCCTTCCAATATCATCACTTATGAGAATGTTGAAATATATATATCCTAATATAGAATATAGAGAAAAATAATAAGGAATAACACAGTTCCAGCACAAGTTATCCAACATTTGTGAAATGAATTTGAATAATTTTTTCATGGCAAAACGTGCCCACTATTTAATTTGCCATCAGTGAGTGTCAAACAATTGCTCGCATTGCTAGTCAGACAATATTTTTTAAATGCAGCACATCTTTCAAATAATAGTTAGCTATAAATAGTCATTACTCATGAACATTTGATCTGACAAAGCACAGCGAATTGGCAAGATTTTTACTAGACTTTTCAAAACTTTTCTTTACTGTCCAAGACTGTGGTGGTCACCAAGAGATTAAATCCTAACTTGTGATGATAACAATTCCTCAGCATGTTATATTTTACAAGTTTATCCTGGAATTATTATTTGGGGGCATCTCAGAAGATGGCATTTTGTTAGGTTAATTCTTACATTAAATATAATTAACAGAAATTGTAAAATACATAACGCAACTGAAAACAAAATAATTTACACTTGCAGTTCACATTCATGGCTAGAGAATGTTGAAGTAAATCTCTCTCTTTCTCTCTCTCTCTCTCTCTCCTCTCTCTCTCTCTCCTCTCTCTTCTCTCTCTTCTCTCTCTCTCTCTCTCTCTCTCTCTCTCTCCTCTCTCCGTCTCTCTCTCTTCTCTCTCTCTTCTCTCTCTCTCTCTCTTAACTAATATATATATATATAAATATAAGTAAGAGGTATATATATAATATTACTCTCTATCTATATCTCTCTACAACACCAACACACATAGATAGATAGATAGATAGATGAGATAGATTAAGATATAATAGATAGATAGATATTAGATAGAATTAGATATAGATAGATTAGATATATATAGGAGTAGAGCATAGATAGATAGTAAGATAGATAACATAGATAGATATAAGAGATAAGAATAGATAAATAGAGATAGATGATAGATAGAAATAAGAATAGAATAGAGTAGAGATAGATAGGATAGATAAGAGAAGCATAGATAATAAGAGCGAGTAGCGAATAGATAGAGATAGATAGATCTATAGAGCATAGATAAATAGAGATAGATGAGATAGATATAATAATAGAGTAAGACGCATAGATAGATAGATAGAGAGACTAAGATAGATTAATAAGAAGAATAAGATATAGATAGATAGATATACATAGATAAGATAGCATTATAGATAGATAAGATGAGCAGATAGAGAGATAGAGAGAGAGACGAGAATAGAGAATGATAGAAGATAGAGAGAAATATAAATATAAAAATTCTTTTTTGCAGGAGGGGAAAATAGCATCTCACATACCTCAATTGGAGTAGTAGTAGGCAACTCCGCCACTTTCAATGAAATCTCCACTGCTCGTCCGCTGTGCTTTGGATCTGCAGCAGAAACCACTTCTCTGATTTCCTTCACCTGCGTGTGTTCCATAATTGGTGAAAGATCAGTGGCATTTATTACTGCGACATTGTCAGCAACTTCCTTCTTTCCTCCAGCACTTTGCTGTAAACCATCAATAATTCATAAATATGACACTAAATTTCAAAAAACTTAATTTTAATGAATTTTGTCACAGAATAAAGAGTGCATTGTAATTAATTTTGCACATTGTAATTTAATGATTTCTTAATACAAAATCTTAATAAAATATTTATAAATAACATTGACAGTAATTTCCATACTAACTTTGTCAGTCACTATAACACGCTCCTTCAAATGTGGGAACATTTGCTTGTGATCACCCACAAAATATGTGTTAGGCATGTATGCCAATTTCTCACTGTATTGTGCAGCCAATTCTAATGGGCTTGTAACTTCATCAGTTATCAAGTAATCCATGAATGATGCTCCTGATGTACCAGGATAACCCAACCACATAACCTGTACAGGAGCTGGACGCAATGCAAATATTTCATTGCGAGCTCCTTTGGTATAGCCATTCATATTCACAAGCACATGTATTCCATCAGAGTTGATTCGATCTGCAGCCTTCCCATTGCATGGTATCTGAAATAACAATTGTGATACTAATGCAAAAATCTAAAATGATTTACAAGTTTCAATTTATACTACAAAAATATAGAATACTGTTCTAATTACAAGAAGATACATTTAAATTATTTTTTTATTTAATAGCTCTCAACAATTGAAAATATGAAGATAAATACAAAAAAAAAAAAAAATTCAGTACCTGGGATAAGTCAACAAAATGTTCTGATTCACGTGCAATTTTTGCTCTAAATGTTGTTCCATCATCAGGACTCAATGCATAACAGAAAACTTCTACACGACCTTTGTCATGAAGACCTGGTATTGATTGCATTAGATGTGAAGTTGGATGATTACCAAAGTCAGAGCTCACATATCCAATGCGAAGACGAGTGCCTGAAAGCTCTTTAGGATATTTGTAAGGAGGTTTGTGCAGAACATGAATCTGAAATGAAAGCAGAATATTTAAAATAATTCCAATGTACTCTCTACCTGATTACTCCTTTCTCTCCCTAAGCACTTCAACTGAATTTGTATGAAATGGAGAAAATTGACAAATGTATTCTCACATTTAATGCTTTTTTTAGTGGATGTATTGTATTTTTGTGAGTATTTTATGTGATTATTGTGTTTTATTACTTTGTAGCAAATATATAAGCCATTTGTACTCAACCTATAAATTCACAAGAGCTACTACGTAAAATGGTTCTCTGAAAGGTCTACTAGCTAATTTAAAGCACTAAAACTGATTAATATTTTAATTTTTATTAACATATGAATGAGAAATCCGCTGAAATTTCATGCAACACTGAACATGTGTTGGAATGGTCTTTTTGCACAGGGCCCTCCATATTTTATAATGGACCTAACCTTAATGGCAGGCATTTGAATTTGGCTTATTAAATAATATTATAATATTATTTAATACATACTTCATATTATTATTTAATACATACTCACTTGCAATGCATTTAAGTTTATTATTGCCTTAAGGTGATTTATGAACCCATATCACTAACATCTATTTGTTTCCCTAGTTGATAAACCAAAGGGTATACTACAAAGGTTGTACTACTATTTCTCGACTAGATACCTGAAATGACATGGCGAGTCAAATCCTTGCAGACGCAAGTGCTGATATGAAGAAATGTTAATCACACAATTTGAATATCAGACAGAAACAATTTATTTTTTGTTTTTTTTTTCTTCGATTTGCATTTGGTTACCTTTGATAGAACTTTTGAAGACTTATTATGAGTAGTTTACACTTCATAATAACGAGACCTTCAAAGTTCAATCAACACCTTGGAGTTGGATATAGTTTCATAAGGAATTTATGTTCTAGAGTTTTTATAACTTATGTGAAAGAAGATTAAATGTTATTTTTAAATATGAAGTGAAGAAGACGAAAATATGTATGTCATAAATGTATTCTATAATAGTTTATTGTTTTTCGAGTATGTATTACTCACCTTCTCCAAACACAAGTTGGCGTGTCGGGCTGCAATAGCTTTACGAAATTCATGAGACAGAGGATATAACATGGAGTGGTGAGGATGAACAGATGGTAGGCGATTTTTGTCCAATTGTTCTGCTACAATGGACACAAGTTTCTTCATTCGTGATTCATAGTCTGTCCAATCACACACTATCTGAAGGCAATGAGCTAGATTGCAGTAAGCATCAGGGAAATCTGGTTTCAATTTCAGTGCAGTGCGATATGACTGTATAGCTTCTGGGATGTTGCCAGAGTCCTGAAGAAAGAAACGTAATTTATTATTTGCAATGTAGTCCCAAAGTATTTTTATCTTATTTCATGATGTATTTATAAAATTATTTTTTCCATTCAATATCATAAAAATCTAACAAAATTCCTTTCACATGAACTACTACAACTTTCTTTCCTTCTACCAAGAAGAGTTTCTTGCAATTACAATTAATAATGTCAGAGCAATATTTAAATGGCAGTATGTGCAAGTCAATTTTTACTCTTACATTTCCAGAAACATTAGAAACGAACACAAGTACACAAACGTCTAACCTTATGAATAGAAGCAAGATTGGAGTGTGCGTCAGCAAATGCAGGATTAATTTGAATAGCACGTGTGTAACACTGAAGAGCCCCTTGAATATCTTGCATCTCTTTAAGAGTATTGCCCATGTTAGAATAAGCATCAGCAAAAGTTGGTTGAATACGAATTGCTTCCTTGTAATGCATGAGAGCTTCATTGAGCTTGCCCTGTTGTTGCAAGACAGATGCCAAGTTGGAGTGGGCTGCTGCGAATTCAGGGAAGACCTCGAGAGCTTTCAGGTATAGCCTAGTGGCTTCTTCGATGTAGCCTTGCTCCCGCTTGATGTTGGCCAGATTGTTGAGGGAGTCGGCATGAGTTGGGCAGAGGCGGAGGGCTGTATTGTAACACTCCTCTGCCTCCACAACCTGAAGACATAAATGTACCTCAAATACTTCTTTGGTCACTAAAGGCCCAGTTATGAATATTTAAAAATGTATCTCTCCATTATGTCTTGCAGTTTTCCTTGTTTCCTATGACACTAAAATTGAAAAGGTCCACTCACCTGTCCTTTTTCTTTAAGGGCATTGGCCAAGTTGCAATATGCATCTGGGAAGTTAGGTTGTAATTCAATAGCCCGGCGATATGTATCAATGGCAAGGTCAATAAGTCTGAAAATAGATATGAGTTTTATTTTTTATTTTATGATTTATATCAGTGCAAGCGCACAAATATTTTGGAAAGGATTTTAACACTTATTGTCAATATTTAGAACTATTTTGAAAATTGTATGAGAAGAGAAAATAATATTAACTATTATTTAGTCAGCTTTCAGTGTTGTTGAATTACAGTGAATTAACAATTCCATTAATAATTGTTTGTTAGGTTTTATTAACCTTAGAATAATGAATGAACTCTCAGTAAAGCTTACATAATAACTCTTGAATTCTCAAAAAATGTCACTTACATTTTAAACAATGGAAATATTGGTATATTGAGATCTGCTTCTGCAGGGAAGGAAGAAGTCTTACCTCAGACTCCGAAGGAAATGGATAGGAATGGAGAATAAATTAATTCTGGAAAGGAAACCAAATTTCTTGAATCTTAATAGAATGCAATGTTTACATTGTCAATGCATTTAAATATATTTCTATTTTCAGAAGGGTATAGAAGGTATTTTGCAGTTCTGTCAGAAACAAAACGTGAATCTTTGATTTCTTAAATAAGATTCACATTCATAAACAACAAATCACTTCCACGAGGCCTCCACATTCAAGACAGATGTGCTAGTTAATTTTAACTCTCAGCACACCTGTCCTACTACTAAAACTTCACTCTCCATCTGTGTGCTATGTTTAAAATCCTGGCCAACCACACGGTATTTCATCTGGCACACTAGACAGTTCTCTTGCCACGCCACATTAACAAGTAGTCTTTCTATTGGCCAAGTGCATTATAAATTGTTCAGATTTGCTAACTCTGCAAATGTCAGCGATTAATAATTACCAAACCCAATACTAATGGAAAATTCACTTTAATCAAAGAATATAACAAATTAAAATTTTTCAATACTCATTTACATGGGATTTTATTATTTACAATAACTATCTTTAAACAACGTAGTTCCCTTCTAAATATTTTGGATAAACTTTTTTCCAAATATAGACAGAAAGATAAAGAATAAACATTTTGAAAATCTACTTACCCTTGCTCATAGTACACACAAGCAAGGTTGCCATGTACAACAGCATTGTTTGGGCTGAGATTGAGGGCCCTGAGATATGCAGCCACAGCTCTGAAAACAATCAAGTACCTTATTGAATACACAATTTGGAATACAAGCAAATAACATAAAACATTACTTAATATACTGTCTTGTAACGAAGGAGATGAAAAATGGAGAACCTCAGGTACACAATGTTTATACTTTGTGACACCCTGGAAATTGTGCCTTAAAATATTTCACGAAAATTGACGAGTGGTGTGCAGACCTCTTGAGGCAGCACTTGACCCAGGCGAAGCAGCAGGCGTGGCGCCGTCCGGAAGGCGCGGGGGCGGGCTCGAGCTCCGGCGCCGGCAGCGGCCGGTTGGGGAGGATAGTGATGATGGTGTACACGATGATGCACTGGTAGTCCATGGCATGACGCTCCCGGGCCGCCCGCCGCTAGCAGCAGAGGGCCGCCGTGGGGCACCGCAGTCTCCGGGCGCCACCGAAGCACGCCGCCGCTCCTCCTCTACCACTACCACCACCACTCCCACTCAACTCACAAACCACCACCGCCGCGATGGGCGCCGCACGTCCGACAGCACGCGCACATGCCTCTCCCGCCCGCACTCGCACTCGCGCACGCGCACTGAGTCGAGGGCGACGGGCGACGGCGGAGTTAGGCAACGGCGCGAATCCCAAAATACAGCGCGGCCCTCGGCCGGAGCGGTCCGGGCCAGGCCGTCCAGCGGGAACCGCCGAGAGGCGGCCCTAGGTGGCGCCCGCCCACGGGGCAGGGGACGCTCTGCAAAATACCCCGTACCGCGCCTCGTCGCTCGCCACCGCCGGACAACTTCATTGGAAAAGATTGATGTGGATGCGGGAACGCGAAGGCGCAAAGATAGATCAATCGCCTCTAAGACTAGCGGTAGACCAATTCCGCCAATGCTTTACGTAAGGGCTGGCAATGCGCTAAGGGCAGGGGAGCGGAGGGGAGGGCCCAGCGAACGTGACGCGCGCCGACAGGTGGAGCGGGACGAGGAGCGCGGTCACCAGAAGCCGCGTTAACAGCGCGTGCGCGCGCACGGAAATATTAATGTCTCGTTAGCGGAGAAGGGAGGGGCCAGGTTGACCTCTGCGCTTTCACCACATAAAGCAGAACAATACGTAAACGACGCCCATCTGCGGAAACCCATTTCCTGTTCTTCTAACATTGGGGAGCTTATCTAGGAAATCTGGAGAATTCACAACGAAAACATTTATATTTCCTACGAAATTAGAAATACACCTTTCGGCCGCAGAAATAATTACAGGCTCCTACCAAAATTGTACATAACTAGGTATCCCTTCCTTCATCGACTACTAGATCAATACAATCCCACGATTCCCATCAGCACAAAAAGAAACTTTCTCGGGAACCCGGAACAGTAAATCCCTGTCATCCATGCAGTTGAGGTAGCTCCACCGGTTCTTCCCAGCCCCCACACGCAAAGCGAAGGAAATAGATAGTTCGTTTCCATAAAAAGCGCAGTATCTGGCGCAGGGGTCGCTCGAGGCACTCGCCCCTCAACAAGGACATCACGTCCCTTCGCCGCGTCCACCGCATCGTCCCCAATACCAATGACTAATCTCACTTAATGGCTGGGTCGGTAATTAACTTTGAGTTGGACTATCCTCCCATTATGTAGAAAAAAATTGCAGACATCACTGGCGAACATCACGTTCTTAAATATATCCAGCAAAAACTGCACGTGCTGTTTAACAAATTATTCTTGCATATGCAGATATTTCATGTAAAGGAAAATAAGAATATGGCCATATCGCCGTATCACATATTTGATTAGATCCTAACTCCAATACTTTCCTGCATCATGGACAATATTAGAAACAACTAATTCAAAATTGTAATTACTTTAAATAAATTGCAACACACTGCTCAGGCCAGTGATAGAAATTTCATAAGAACGTGGCCAAGACTGACATTTAGAATCATCCAGATTTCTGCATCCGGTTTTCCAACACTCGGTTGTCTGTGGGATGCCGTGGATTTCCTTGAGACTAAAAAAAAGCAGGACAACGCTGGGTCTCTTGGTAGCCGAGGGAGGCCCCGAAAACATCGCTCAAAACATCAGTTCGAACGAGTTACTTTAGTTGAAATGAGTTACATACGCTAGGACAACAAGTTGCGTAATACGGAGTATACGGTATATGGATTTCGAATGTTTCATTACATGCTTTACCGGGCACGAAATGTTTTCATATTTCCTACATGATTAGGTCAAAAAGAAGTTAGCGACGAAAGGATGACCGGACGAGGAGTGAGAGGAAGGAAGAAAGAAGGAACCATGGTGGAATCTATTTCTAATCGCCGCCAACTAATCCCGCCGTGCGAACGCGGGGAGGGGAGCCTCCGAGTCCGGCCCTCTTTGATCCCCTCGAGCGGAGCGGAAGGCAACGCAAGAGTCTTATGGAGGGGCCGGAGCTTCAATTTCTTGTGACCATCATCAGGGTGCCCGAGCTTCTGAAAGAAAGTAGAACAGCTGGGGCTTATTAAAGACACCCCCGCCTCCCCAGGACCAAGTCGAGTGCTGCCAAACAACGAAGGGTACTTCTGTCCTAAAATAGGGAATTTAATATCGACAGAATGCAAACAAAAAACAGGCATGAAAGGCTTTCTTAATTACTTCCACATGTTTAGAACAACCGAAACAAATGAGTTGCAGCCGACGGCGAATCACAACTCATATTTAAGGCAAATATATTTAATAATTAAACCGATTTTTTAAAAAAGGTGATGGAACGAAAACAATGGAATGAAACACGGCTGATAAGACAAACCGATGGCTTCTATTGTAAACCTGTTTACTTCCGATACCAAATTTCAACGGTGCCTGTTACTCTAAACAGGTCTAATGACTTCAATAACTACAAACGACTAAATACTTCAACTGTCTAATTCACTTTCTCAAAATGCTTTGACTAAAATACTTGACGTTTTGGGAGCGGCATAAATAAGCCCATCTAACAAGTGCCAAATTATTCGTGGATTTGTAACCGCTGGCAAAAACACACGTATTTTGCAGTTTAAAACATAAAAAGTCCAGAAGAAAATTCTGTAGCGAATCTGTAACGATAAATATCTGACATTTTCTCTCTCTCTTTTAATTATCGATAACTCTCCAAATGCTAATAATCATAGTCGTCGCTTTGAAAAAATTTAAGTTGCGAAGACAAACATGGAGTTTGTGACGATACTTTAAATAGCTGATTACTTAAATACTAATCAATACGTCCTCTCTGTACATTCCACTACGCCCCGGAAGGGGAGCGGCTGTCCACCATGCTCACTGGGTGAGGAGGAGCTCTTCAATAACCAAGACTAGCATGGCAATCCATTTCGCCGGTCGCCGTAGGCTCCGGCTCGGGGCGCTTGCGGGCTGGAGGAAATTGCAGTTCCGCGCGACGTGCGGGAGCGGCTCTCGACGGCAAGACGCAATATTTTCGCGACGCGGACAAATGGGGGCCGCGTCGCCTTCCTGCAGCAGCGGGAAACTTCCTCTAATTATAGCCGGACGGCGTCTCCGGCCCTGGCAAGGCGGCGCGCCCTCCCTCGAGCCGGACCGTCGTGCAATAATTGCTCCAACCTGCACCTCTTGAGCGACTCCCAAACGACTGCTCGCCCGTAATATGCCGCGCATTCAATAACGCAAAAACACAAGTGTTTAAGAAAAAGAGCGGAAAACCTTTCGGCCAACAATATTTATTAACCTTTATATCAACTGCGTATATTAAATTACATTAGTTACGAGGAGGGAAGAGTTAAAGAGGCCCACTGGGGCCTAAAAATATTTGTTAACTAATTTTGCTTGCTTTATTACATATTACATTACATATTTTATTATGTAGCAAATTATTTTAATCGTTTTAGATTTTTTTATAATAACGGCAAATTAAACTGTCCACAAGAAAGAACACATTCATAATGCCATGAAAAACCCGGAATGCGCCTCTCTCGAATCCAATTTTTGGAGGCGAAAATATTTCGTGCGTATGGATTGTTTCCGCCATATTCGCCTTCTCACGGTAAATTACGAACGAGAATCGACATCTGCTTTGCCCACCACTTATTGAAATGTGTCTTATTTGGATGAACCACACTCATGAATAAACTCCCAACAAATAAGCACGAAAACTTATTATTGAAGAAAGGAAACCGGTCGAAGTGAACTAACCACAGTATTCGAGGGGGGACTGGAGGGAAGGCAAACTGAGGATATTTAATATGTCAAGGTAACTTAGTATGAAGGCTACTTTACTAGCCCATTCATTTCCAACACGATACCTCATTAGATTCTGTACAAAAGATCTTATAATAAGGGAAATAAAAGATACACAAAATAGTAACATGAATAAAAATGATAAAACTGAACATACTTTACCTTAGAAAAGCGAAATTATCGAATTAATCATAGGAACATACTGTCTAATCCTTGCAACAACAAAAGTAAATGAACCAATGATCAGCGAATTCCAAAATGTTTTAATTTTCGTAGAATCACTGTCCACATCGCTACTACTGTGGCAACAACGTTTTACACTTGTGTTCAGTTTCCAACGGAAAATTTAATATTTTTAGTATTTGACAACTGCATAGATTATTCCGGAGTCTCAGTTACCTAGGTCTCGAACAATCGCACGTTAGCGTAAACCGATCTTTTAAATTAGCTATTCATTTCACAGCCAACTTAGTCCCTGCAGACGTCGCAGGGCGATCCATGCTCCTAGCGGGGGACAGGTGGGCGGTGGGGGCGTCAGCGACAGAGGAACCATTCAATGGGCGGAATCGTACTCTACCGCCGCCGCTACAACATCGATCGCGCGGGTGCGGCCGACGGCGCCCGGAACACGTGTCCACACCATCGGCCAAACCCAAAGGCAGGGGTTCGCTGCCCCGCCCTTCCCCGCTTCCCATTTCAACACACCCGACACTACAGCTCTCCGTGGTCAAGTATGTTCTCCTTACAGGCTTATTCGCAAATTGTAGTCCCATGACATACTGCCTTGAATCTCAAGTTTTGAAATGTATTGGAGAATTTCGAACATTGACCATTGAACAATTAAACCCTAATTAACATATACTAATGGAAATGCACGAACACGTAATATGTACAGGAGTGACCAAATTATATCCAAAATAAATTTGAGTGCATTATTCCGCCTGTTCTCTCTTAGTGCGCATACCGTCTGAATTCTTACATTCAGAGCGTCGCTGCTTACGACAAACCTGACGTCTCGCAACAAGCTCCAAGAGAGGTTCCTGCCATTAAATAGTTGATATGCATGTCTTACGTAATGGGCAAGCATCTTAATACTTTCTAACGTTCATGGCCCTCTATGTCCGATGGTGTCCAAATTTAATACAATTTCACCACACCAATTGCTTAAATTAAAATAGATATAGGAAATAGTTTATGCAATTAGTATACAATGTCAAGCTATATTGTGGAGTCAATTTATAAGTGAATACACGTTTTGAAAACTGGCGACGTTAGGAGCGAGTTCTCAAATTTGTACGAATGCAAAAAAAGGAACATTATAAACGAGTTGCATTAGCTTTTTTTTTTGTATAACAGCATTATAAATGTATAAGATAATCAAAATTATATAATGATAAAACGAAACAACTTTCTAGCAATTCTCGGGTGCGAGAAAACTTATCTCCACAGGATTCTCTCGCTGCGATTGGCTGAACGTGTAATGACGCAATAATTCGTGCCGTAAAATGCTAATACGTCATCATTTATA